GAAGTAGTAAGTCATCTCTAAAATATTCATCTCTTCCTAGGAGAATGAACACTAATTTAGATTTCCTATGTTTCTTCCATTCTTTTGTCATTATATTATTTTGTGTAGACTCAGTGGAGAAGTGGTTTGCAGGTAAGTGATGTCTGTTTTTTTTTAATTGTTCAATCTGCAGTTTGTGTAAATTGTTTGTTTCATTATCCTGTTCAAAGGATATTCTCAATGTGTCTCTTGGGACCAGAGCAAACACTGTATAACATTCAGGTTTAATATATATATCTTTTTTAATTCTAGTATAAGAACTTTCAGATCAGTGACATAGTCCAGCCCTGTTGAATACTTCAGTCTAATTTCATCCTACTGATTTGTTATCTCTGACTTGTAAGATATTACAATCCTCTTAGTTTGTTCTCACAGTTTCAAGATGATTGGCTCTTTGACATAATGTATCTTCATATGGGAATTGTAATTATATTTATGTGCTTTAATGGGAGCCCCTAAAACTCATTTCATTCTCCTGATATCTTTGATAGAATTCCATGCCGATCCCAAAGTCAAGCATTCCAGTTCACTACTACACAGGTTACTATTCACTAGTAATATAAAAACAAAAAGTTGTTGTTCTTTGGACTTAGATAGATATTCTTTGGATATCTATAGTCTAATGCATTGGCTTAATGTGGTTATGTTAGACATTATTGGTCAACAGATTAGGGACAGACCATTGTTTCTCTGCAAAAATCAATCTAACATATTCTTTTCATCTCCCTTCAGTTGTCAATCATATTCTCTTAATAACAATAAAGTACATTACCTCATGTAGTTTTTAAACCATCTACTTTGCCCAAAACATGTCCTCAAAAGTTAATTTGCACAATGATGCAGTATTGATGGGCTCATGGATCGGAACGATTTGGAGCCATTTGAGCTTCATCATCACATTCTGAAATTTTGGCCAAAAAGAACCTTTTAAGCAGAAAAACTTTTTGTCCTTTTATGTCTTCACGAACTCTGGCAATTGCCCAGTCTTTGTTGGCCAACAATTTTAGGTAATTTCTGAGCAGACTTTCCAAGGCATAGTTTGGAATTGCAGTTTCAAAGCCTAATGTCGACTAGCAAGATTGTTAACAAGTTAAATGAAATACTGAAGGCATTTATACTATATGGTTAAGTTCCTGACTCTGTTACTTTAACAAAGCAGTGAGGTGACTATTTGAAGTTTTAAATTAGAATTGTGAATATCAGTGTATAAAATGCATTGGGGGTCTCCTTCTGCGTTATGCTTCATAAAAAAGAGAATAATTTAGACACTTACCTACCACGTCCAAGTCAAGGATGTAGACCACCCTCAGTTCATTTGTAGCTTTTCTTAAAAACCCAATTCATGGAAAGAGTTAATGGCAGTGAAACTAGTTTGTCATACCAAGAATAAATCTAAGGATTAACTGGCTTTTTGTTTTTTGGGGCGAACAGATGAGAAATGTCCAGCATGTGGATGTCAAAGGAATGTGGTCAGAGGACTTGGGTTAGAACCCTTAGACAAAAGCCTGCAGTTGAAAATTGAATTGCCTGCTATTAAAAATTAACAAGGCTTTGCTACAAAAGGGGACACTACAGGGCCCCTTGACTTTGTGCAACTCTGTGTGTCATCATGCCCCATTAAATAATTTAAACTTTTTCTACTCAGTGCATGTGTCTGTTTTTCTTTGTGCACTGAACCTTTTTGTGGTAGTGAGTGATGGTCAAGTCCTTCCACGCAGCTAAGAAAACAAACATTAGACCAAGATAAATATAATTATAAAATACAAAGCATTTAGATGATAAGAGATATAGGCATGCATAATTCATGCTTCATTCCCAGCAATTCTCCATTTTTAAATGTCATTTTTAGTGCTGTGTGTGCATCTATACAGGCATAGGTGCATTCATTTTCACATGCATGGGATTTTTTTCTGCATTTAATTTTAATATTGAACTAAATCCTGAGGTGTTCCTTCATAACTGCTGAATATATATTTTGTGGTTCAGCGAAAGATGTTGTAAAGTCACAAAACTGATCTCAAATTTTGTAGGTGAGAGTATGAGGCAGCTAGATGTACATTACACACATGAATTCACCATCCATTATTTATGGACCGTATGTGCTCTGTGCATTCCCACTAACACTGACATAACCTGATTCTGCTAGACCATGGCCTTTAATGCATCACACATGCAGTGATAGAAAAGTACTGCACATCATGGACATACTGAGAAGCTGCACCAATCCTTAGCTTACAGTTCCTATGCATTTGGAACTGTAGAATTTAAGGCAACTGCCAGTAAGAGAAGATGACATTGAGTCAGAAACTGAATTATTTCTGTAGTGTAGCGGTAGTCATGTCTGTCTTGTACACAGAAGGTCCTGGGTTTGAGTTTGGTTTTTATAAGGAAAGATTTTTCCCATACTTTTAGGGTACGTTTATGGAACTTCCTACGTTTATCGACATCCCAAGGGAGTTAC